CTGGTGTCCACATGCGCTGGGGAGGGAGAGTAATTGTGTCTGTGCTCAGGTGCCAGGGTGAATTTGGGTATTGTGTTATTAGGAAAAGACACCAGAACACATTTGGCTATTTGTATTATTAGGATAAAGAGACTAGATACGCAGTGGCTTAAAGCATATGAGAGTTTCATTCTTCCCAGTATGGGGAAAATCTTCCAGAGTTTTGAGCTCTGGCCCACAGATTGATTCAGCAACCCACGTCTTCATATCCTGCTCTGCCTGTTGCCAGGCAGGGTTTTCAACTGGGGTTTCACGGACCCCAAAGAATCTATGGTTAGAATTCAGGGGGATCAGTGAACTTCAGTGGGGAAGATTTGTCTTTATTTTATTTAGCCTGTACATAAACTCACATTTTCCTTCGTTATGAACATTGGCAACAAGCCACTGGGGCTTTTGTCACAGGAGAGTCAGTTTTCATACCACGTTTGATCGCCGTTGCAGATATTTCAGAAATAAGTTCTGCTGACACTGCTCTGGAATATGGAGTTATTGATCCCCTCTAGATCTTATTTAAGATGTTAATACAGAAGGACATTATTAGTATAATGCAAATTATTTATTTAATATCTAAAATTTGTATTCACGTGATTGGGTTCCTTATAATGTTATGCATTATAAACTCTAAGAAAGGTTGTAGTCCCCCGGCTTTCAAGGGGCCCGTGGCCGAAATGGGGAGACCGTCCGCTCTAGGCCCTGTCCCTGTCTGTGGTGCGAGGTTTGCCACAGCCAAAGGCCAGCTCACAGAAGTGAAATGCAAGGGCGTCCAGCACAAATGCAGGCACCAGCACAAATGCAAGGGCCCGGTACAGATGCAAGGGCGCCGGCACAGATGCAGGGGCGCCCGGCAATGCCAAGGGCGGCCCAGCACAACGCTCGGACTGTGAGCTGCCTTCCCGTACGCTGAACAGTGCCAGGCACACGGGCCTGTCCTTCAGCAAATACTTACTGAGCCTTACTAGCTTGCCAGGTCTGCCAAGTGTTGTCCTAGCACGGAGACCGACAGGAGCCAGACAATCCCTGTCCTCCTGGGGCTTAATTCTATTAATAGCAAGGAAGACAGAAAACAGACACATGGTAGGGGGCAAAAGAATACATGAAAATAAAGCATCTGGTGGCTAAGATGGCGGGGAGGGAAGGATGAGGGGATGTTCTAATCAAGTGAAGAAAGCTCCTCTGGGGGTAGACTGAGTGTGACGAGAGAACCCGGCAGAGACGCGGCCGTGCAAAGGCCCTGGGGTTGGGACGCTGCAGGTGACGCTCGCGGTGGCGGTGCTGAGGGGGGCGGTGCTTGCCGGGCCTGAGACCACGCTTGGCTCTCGAGGGAGAACCGGCTTGTGATTTTTTTCTCCTCAGCCATAAGAGCGGGCCCCCGAGACGTGGATTACAGGGAGACAAGAACGTACACACTAAGAATCAGGGCGAGCTTGTACCATCGTGGGATTCCCATCGACCAGGTGGGCCGGGCTCCTCCCACACTGCTGTGGCCACCGCCCTGCTGAGGCTTCTGAGAACATTCCCGTCTTACTCCCGTTTTTGAGCCGAGTGCATTTGCCAAGGGAGTTTACTCATATAACCATCGTTTTTCTTTGCATTTTTAATGATTTTGGGAAAATTATATTCAATATAAGATGTATCAAGAAACAAACAGTGCAGAGAACCCCATATACCCTTGCCAGCTCCCCTAATTAATCCTATGATACAAGTTAATTATCATAATCAGGATCCCATTGCAACGGTGCTAGTAACTTGACTTACAGACTTATACCAGTCTTACTCCTTTGCCACTCAGGTCCTTTATTGGCCCAGGATCCAGGCAGCTCCATTAATGCATTTCCTTGCCCTCACTGTGCTCCTGCCTTCCGATCCGGGATCGTCCACCGAACCTTATTTCCCAGCTCCGACCGTGTCTGAGATCCCGTAACTAACGTGTAACGATCCATTTGAGCGTATTTTACACGTCTGCTCTTGCACGCCTAAGATGTAAACATAAAATATGGCACATCAAGTAAAGAATAAGTCACGAGTAAATGTTGAGGTAAATCTTTAGACGAACGGCCAAGAAAAAACAACTCCTGGAAGCTTGAAAAGTAGATGAAATAGAAAAGGTAGTCCGTGAAGGTGCATACAACAATCATCACTTACAGAGGCTGCAGATAAATGAATATGCACAGAAACAAATATTAAGTTGCATCGTTGTGTCTATTTGAAAGTCCAAAAAATGCCCCAAGAAGCCAAAATGATCTATTTTTAAAAAAAAGAAATATCTCGAATGGGATCCAAGTCAGTGAAACCACCGTAATTTCCATATTCCCCTCCCCCCTTCCTCATGTCTCTGCTGGAGAATTCTAAAGCCACCCCAGACTTTGTATCATTCTGTTTGTAAATGCTTCCATATGTCTCTCTCACAGATGAGGACTTATTAAAAAAAAAACAAAAAATGAAAAACATAGCCATGCTACTCCTATTATGCTTCACATAATTGATGATAACTGCTTAATGTCATCCAGTACCCAGCCTGTGCTCAGATGCTACTGATCGTAGAGAAACGAATGAGTAGAGGAGGTGTGTTTTGCAGGAGGCCAGCACATGGGGTCCAGGCGGTGGTGGAAGCTGTCTGTGAAGTAGAGAGAGACGCATGCACTTTTCTTTTTTTGCCATGCTTTTCCTTGCACTGAATGACTCAGTTTTGTAGGAAGCGATTAAAGTGAGATTGGTTAAATTCTTGGGGACAAGCAGCCTTACCTCCTAGAATTCACCACCTGGCAGGCTGGCTGGGGAGAACAGATGTAATGCCCCCTAGTGGTGATGGACTTTATTACAGGGAAAATCACAAGCTGCCTATGCCCCACTCCTTGTGCACCCCCCCTGCCCCAGCTGGCCCCTTTGCGGGGCAGCCCTTGGAGATCAGGCTCGTGGGGTCAGGAGGGACGTGCAGGAGATCTCCCTGCATCTGGACAGTTAGGGCCCAGGCAGCCGTGAACATCTGCGTGGCATCTGCTTTGGGGTAACAGGTGCTCAGATGGGATAATCACCGCAGCTCGTCGTGTGCAAATTGGTACAACTTTTCTAGAAAGCACGTTGGCTAGATGCAATTAAAATGAAAACTTTTTTAAAAAAGGTGTATATCTTAATTAGCTAGTTGCCCTCCTAGGCACTTATCCTCAGGAAGTAATGATCGCATTTTTAATAGGAATGAAAACTTGGAACTAATCTTAATTTCTGTTAGAGGATTGACTAAATACGCCACAGTAAGCCCTGGGAGGGGTGTACGATGGGATAGGAAGGGGGTCGAACGTAAGCCCCCAGAACTGGATGTGCCTGGGTTCAGTCTGAGGCTCCCAATTGGGTCCAAGTAGATGCATTTTTTAAATCCTAGAATATTGGCATTTTAATTGGGCAAAAGATTTCTTTCTTCAGAGCCGGTCCAGTTCCAGGTCATGTTAGCTGAGTACCCACGACTTTTGATAAATGCAAAAGCTTTGTAGAGGGGAGGGGAAGGGGACGCCCCCAGCCTCTTTGGGGCATCAGCTGGGCCAGGCAGGGTGTTTTCATTGAATATCCTACAATTTGCGTTTCATGTTGTAGTATTCAAAGATTTTAATGGCTCCGTGTTCAGATGAACTCGCTGTGCCCCTCTGCCTGGCTACCTTTTGTCCCCGGTCCTGGAAGATTTGCAGGAGTTCCCAGCTCGCTCAGTGTGGTCTTGCACCCATGTGCCAGCGAGGCTGCCTCCTCACCCCTGCTTTTGTGTCACTGTTATGCTTTTCATTCTTTTGAACATCCTCATCTGACTCTGCCCATCCAACTACACCCGTGTCTGGCAGCACGTTTGCTTTTGTTTCTTTGTGAAGGTGGAGGTTTTAGAATTTGCGAAACCCAGAAAGCATTAGTCGAAGTTCAGTCTGTCTGCTGTGTGTCATCCTCTCTGACTGTGACCATTTGAGATTTCAGGGCATGGAGAGGAAAATGATAAAGTTACTTTACATGATGTGTTCTTTTTCTAAAGGGATCCAGAACTTTCTAGGACTGTGCAGAGGCTGTTTTGAGCTGGCCAGGATTATTTCAGATATTATCATCAGCATGGATTGACTGTCCTGTTGAAGAGGAGAAGGGCGTTAGGTTAGATTCTGTGTCGGTTTCCAAAGTTTGTTTATTTGGAACCCTGACTCTGCAGCCTGTGAGCTGCGTGACTGTTGTGACATTCCTGAGCCTCTGTTTCTTTGTCTCTAAAATGAGGATGACAACATATGACTTGCAGGAGTGTTGCACAGGCCAAACATGATGACCAGAGGAGGAGGAGGAGGAGGAGGAGGAGGAGGATCGTTTGCACACGGTGCCATGATTTGAGCACTTTATGTCCCAGGTGCTGTGTTCAGCACGTAACCTTGTTTCATGCTGTCCCTCGCAGAAACCCTGTGCGGTAGATACTATTATTCTTCCCATTTCAGGATAGGGAGGCACAGAGAGGGTATGTAACTTGCCCAGGATCACCCAGGTAGAGGCCAAGGCAGGTGTAGCCCTGGCTGGCTGACGGAACCCCTGTGCCCACTGGCTACTGCATGCTAACGAACAGCGTGAAGAACTGGAATAGGGCGGGAGTTGGCAAACTGTGGCCTGTACGCCAAGTACGGCCTGCCCCTTGGTGTTTGCAAACAGAGTTTTATTGGAGCGCAGACAACGCCCGTTTGCCTAGGCATCATCTAGGGCTGCAGAGTTGAGTGGCTGCGACAGACACCGTATGGCTCTCAGAGCCCAAGATATTTACTGTCTGGTCCTTTGCAGAAAACACCTGTCCAGGGCCGGGCACAGAACGAGGCCTCAACATGTGGCGCCTGCTTGCAAATGAATTCAGAATTGCTCGATGCTTTGGTCTTTGATTGCCACCCGATGGCCCCTGACGGGGAGAGCTTTGTCGGTCCTCCCTCTTTTTGGTGATTTCGAATTCTCTCTGTCATTTTAAGGAGCTCTGGGCTCAGGATCTGAGCAAAGTCCGTGAGCGGATGACAAAGTTCATCGACGACACTATGCGGGAAACCGCCGAGCCTTTCTTGTTCGTGGACGAGGTGAGTGGGCTGGCGTCTTGTGTGTGTGTGTGTGTGGGGGGGGATGTTGTCACGGCTTTTTGACTCGCCTGTGTCTTCCGAGGTTTGTTTTCTGTTTCTCTTCCCTGGGACGGCTTTGCTGCCAGATGTTAGACCCTCTTTCCGGTTACTATAGCATTTCATTTTCATGACTTTGTTGCCTGCCTGTGTCTCGATGTCGCCACTAGAGGGCGCCTGCCACCAGGGAGAGTGAAACCGTCACAGATTAGCACAGAACCCAAATGCAGAGATGCCCGTAGTTGAAACGGTTGCACTTGCCCTTGTGTAGGGCAGGAGGCAGGTGGGACTGAGGGGGACTGGGAAGCGCCTGCCCACCTGGGGTTGCTCCCCGGCAGCAGAGCGCAGCCTCAGGTCACTCAAGCGTCTGGTTTATTTTTTTTTTTTAAGGGGCTAGGAGTTGGGATATGACATTTCCTGCCTTTTCAACATTCCGATATTGATGATGTTCTGTTAACTTCAGAGTTGGGTAGTGGATTTACCATTGTTCATGCTACTAACACGCGCACGCTCTCATCGCGGCCCGGACCCAGGGCCCCACTGCGAGGGACACGGACTGTCACCGCCTCCGCGGGCACGAGACAGACGCGGCAGGGAGGCGGAGCAGGAGCGTTCTTTCTGGAGAACGCGCGGGGCCAGGGCACTCGAAAAGGAGGGAGGTAGGACAGCCAGGGACGACCCTGAGCCAGGTCCCCACGGGCCCACGCCGGCCAAGCTCCGTGGAGACGGAGCCCCGGGCCCCCGTTTGCACAGCAGGCTCGCGCCGGGGCACGGACAGGTTCCAGCGGCTCCCGGCAGAAAC